CTGGACTCACACAGCGGGAAAAAAAACCCCAACATGTAGAGCTCTCTGATGTTCCTATTCTCATAATCCTCTAGAATCCTTTTTAAGATTTGTCTTAAAGTTCTAGAAACAGTAACTAAATTTATGATGTATAGCGACAAATGCTTATTTAATTTAACTTTACAAAAGACTGCAGACTATCTTGTCTTTAAAACAATGTTTTCTTTTCCATTTGAAAGATTTATACTGAAAGCAGAAAGTACTAAATCCAGTCATGTATTTTCATTAATTCTCTACTGTCAGATTTTTTTCCTGTTTGCAACTAAGGCAATAACTATTTAAAGAAGACTATTTCAAGATAAAGTATTATATACATCAGTTCCTTTCAAAAAGCATGTAAATACAGCTGGCCATACATAATTTTTAATACTCAGAAAGAGAACCCACTTCTCCAGCTTCAATGACTAAGTTCACAATTTTTTGAAGCAAGATCTATATTCTTTTTTGTTCATTATTCACTAAGTATTTACTTACCACTACTCTTAGGATTCAATTTTGCTTTCACTTATGCTCATGTAAATTTGTTAGCCTATGGGCTTGCCTTAAATTTACCTTTTCCTGCGATTTAAAAGGTACRCTTACCTATTTTTAGAAAGCTAATTCAGTTCTTTGCAAATGAATGGTAAAGAAAGCATTCTAGCTACTACAGATTTAGACGGGAGGGAAAAGAATTAAAAAAAAAAAAAAAAAAGACTCAGTTCTGGTTTATGTCACACAGACCTTATTCCTTTTAAGTTTTTTGCCACTGAAAACTAACCCGAGGCCAATTTATATATCCACTCGTAGATTTTTCTTTAGGGGAAAAAAAAAGAAGGAACAGAGATTCTTAAGAATGATATCCAACAGTAATATTCCAGCCAACTTTCACCTCAAAAATAAGCAATAAGTGTTCATAATTCCCAAAGGTATTTAATTTGCTATAGAGTTCTACCAGCACTTCTCTTCCTATCTGATACGCTCTGACAAAATATCAATTTTTCAAATCTGTCCAATCAGAAAAGGCAGTTATTCCTAAAACTTGTTCCATTAATTTTTTCTGGAGCAAAAGCTTGAAACTGCTGATAGCTATGATGTGACTGGAGCTTACTGGAAAGATGAGATGCATTTTATTCCACTGACACATTTTCCATACAATTGTTGCAAAATGTTTAATGGTGAATTACCAGGTACTAACTACATAAAGCTGTTCTTCATGTTTCAGATGTCCAAATAAAATCCAGTAAACTCATGTCTAGCTGTTCCCATGCTTCAGGCCAGGCTGTAAGACTAATTGCTGGCAAAAATACAATGTCACTGCCTCCAAATCTACTGACTAGAAGAAATATTCATTTGACCGAACGTATTTAGATAATGCTGTCACTTCCACAGCCTCAGAGTCCACAACAGAGGAAAATTTCAGCCCTTATTGAAACATCAGTATGGTATTTACTGCTCATTTTCCCAGAACTCACAAATGAATTACAAGGATTAAAAAAAGAGTATACTTATTTTGTCTCAGTTTGTGCATAACAACAGGAACAACATTTCCTTGGAGTCGTTCCTCTTTGTAGCAGGGCAAGGAAGATATGTATATTGGGCAGGAAATGCATTAAGAAAGCTGATGAAGGGAAGGCCAGATTCCATGAGAAGCAAGGAGGACTCTACTGGCCTGCACACCACCAGAGAGTGTCCACTTCATCTTCCATTTTGCAGAAATCTTCTTTGAAGCTGTCTCTAACCATGTCTAAACATACATCAGCTTCAGATGAAATGCTTATTGCTTTCTCTGTATTTTGTTTCTAGCAAAATGTAATMAAGAGTAAGAATGTTGCCTATTACACAGATTCTGAGGAACCTATAACTGAGAGGCAGATCTGTAATTTTGAAAAGATTTGCTAACGAAAAACAAATGAGATGTATGAAAAATTGAACAATTATTCAATAAATTTTGCAGTGTGTATGTGTGTGTGTGTGTGTGTGTGTGTGTGTGTATATATATATATATATATATGTTTACAAAAATAGCCTTTAGGACTTTTTACTCAGCCAAATAAAGTTTTCTGGCAATCACAGGCTCTGAAAAGGCTAAAACACTTTTTTTTCTCCTTCCTTCAGATATTTGGCTATCACTAKCATGGTAAACATACCCAGGACAGAAGAAAATAAACAACCATATAATCAAAATGTGAGAACGAAAGTAAAAAGGAGCCATGTAAATGGGTAGGTTTTAAGAGCATTCTACCCATTAAAGGTACTGAAAGTGAAAACATATAAAGGCCTTCAGAAACAGGTTTCATTCTTCTACTAAGGCCCAAGATCTTTCTTGTTGACTGCAATATTAATGCACACAGATGTAAGAAATTGCAGTGCACCCAAGAAGTGCTCATCTGGTGCCAGGAGAGAATTTCCTCTATCAAAGATCTGCTTTGGGACGTTAAACATCATACTTCACCTTTTAGCAAAAGAGGCTTAGTTTATTTCTACCATTGAGATATTATAGGCTTAGGATACTGAATATAGCAAGTGGTTAAGAGATTGTAACACACAGAATAAAAATATGCTAAAGAAAAGAGGATTAGCAAGGATAGAGCAAAAGGGGAGGAAATAAATGGAGGGGAGAAAAAAAAAAAAAAAAAAAAAAAAAGCCAGAACTGAGATTGCAGCACAAAGCAGGGGGAGATCAAAAGTAATGGTGAGGGGGAGAGAAACTCTCAGGAGAGAGTGGCAGGAGAATGATGGGAAAGATTAAAACAGTTTAATCAGCAAGTCAAAAGACATCAGGCATTAGTAGCCTAGAAGAGCAAAATGAATGAAGAGGCCAGGGAAGAATTAGGCATCAAAGATGCATAATGATAGATTTCTTTTCCATCATGCAGTATGTCTTCTAAATGTTTGAGTATTACAATTAAGATGACAGAAGTTCATTTTGTGTGTGTGTGTGTATATATCTCTATAAACATAAGTTATACACACAAATAGCCTGCATGGTTAAGATGATCCAGCTCCCATCTGGACTACATTTCCTGAGGGGCTGCAGGCCAAACAGTCAGCCCAGCAGCTCACCGGCTCAGAACCTGAGGCTGCTGCCATGTCCTGGTGGGGGAAAGACACTGCCACATGCACACCCAGGCTGGCCACGGCGCGAGCGGCAAGAGAAATGCGCAGCATCCTTGCAGGGCTCAGTCCTTGGAGGGCTCAGCCCTCGCAGGGCTCAGTCCTTGCAGGGCTTAGGCTGTGTGTGTGTCTGAACACTGCGGGGAAGGAGGAGGAGCACAGCAGTCTGCTTCAAGTGACAGCAGGCACTGGTGAGTGCAGCAGCACAGGGAAAGAGGTAGCCCTGAACATCCGTGGGATACAGGAGAGGCCTGAGCTGTTGCTAGCTCTGTCATGGCACACAGAAGGGAAAGTCAAGCTGGAGTCCCCAGCAGTTGCCTAAAACAGATTATCCTATGCAGGACATCTGCATATGCACACAGAACCATAGCTGCTTTAGAGACTCTTCTGCTGTTAGGCACAATTGCAGGTTTTGCAGGCTGTGTTTACCTGCCAAACTGCCAGTAAATTGATCATACAACTTTCAGTAGTCAGTTTCAATAAAGAAACTGAGTGAGTGCAAAGGACACAGTAAGGCAGAAAACCACAGCTAAGTTGAGTACAAGAGTAAATGGTACTATTCTTTTTTCTTTTTATTCTGTCTTATGGCCAGACTTCATAATGAGCCATAAGACAGAAGTCCAGCTTTTTAAAGATTATCTATGATTTATGACTAGATATCTATCTTTTCCTTTGCTTCCTTTGCAAATTTTGGATTGAATTAACAGAAGTTCCCACTGCAACAGTATGTGGCTGAGCAAGTCACCTAGATACTGTAGATATGTTTAGAAAAACTTCTAGACAAAGTTATAAATAAGTCTTGGATAACGCTATTTTCATTCTTGTTCTTCAACATTTCTCTTTGTTCTCTTAGGGATGGAATGAGAATCTCGTGCCAGTGGAAAGACAAACTGATCTATGATGGGAGTTGACATGCTCCAAAATAATGCTTTGGCCTTAAGGGAAGACAAAGGGAGAGGGAAAATCTATGGAGTTGTTAGGAGGAGGGGTTCTGGGTTTTTTTATTTGTTGTTCTTCTAAATACCACTTAAGCCCTCTCCTCCCAAACTTCCATAGAAAAAAAAAAAAGCTCTAGGAAAAAGCCAACAAGACATCATTATGATTATCTTGCTGTGAGGGGTATACTTCAATACCTTATACWTTAAGTTATGTATGCAAAGCTATAGGAACTTCTGAACAATGTCTTTTTCTTGATCTTTATGTGCAGAAATAATGGTGAGAGAGATCGGAAACATCACCACATGTGTGATGTCCAACCTCCTGCTCAAGCAGGCASACCTAGAGCATGTGGCACAGGGTGGCATCCAGGCGGGTTTTGAAGACCTCCAGAGAAGGAGACTCCACCTCCCTGGGCAGCCTGTTCCACTGCTCTGTCACCCTCATAGTAAAGAAGTTCCTCCTCACATGGAGAYAGAACTTCCTGTGTGGTATCTTGCACCCACTACCCCTTGTCCTGTCACTGGCCACCACTGAGAAGAGCTTGGCCCCTTCCTCCCTACATTCCCCCTTCATGAACTTATACATGTTAATCATATYCCCTCTCAGCTTTCTCCAAGCTGAACAGGTCCAATAAACACATCAACTCTAATTTAAAATTCTAGCTCCTTCCCTCTCCTGTTCTCACTGTAGGACTCTTCCASAATCTTGCTTCTGCTAAAAAAAAAAATCAAAACAAACAAGAACAAAAAACTCACTACATATCTAATCTCTAGCATACACAAATCTACAACTAGCTCGTGCATCTCTCCTTCTCAGGTGGCAGGTAACAATAAAGGACACTAGAAAAATATAAAATCAAACAAGTGCAATAATTTTCAATACAACCTACAGAACAGTCAAATGCAAGAAGCTCATTAGCTGATACTTACGGAGGTGTCACTCCTTTGGGGAGCCCTAGTGCATTGACAGAAATAGGTGGTGGCTGGGATGGCAGCATGGAGCTGAGAAAAGCAGCTGGAGATTGGCCGGAATTAGAAAATCTAGGAGTTGGAGACATGCTGTGGGAAGGGGAAGGAACTGAAGGAAGAGGAGGGGGTGGAGGTGGTGGCAGTGGAAAGGAATCACACACAGGATATGCTGTGGTTGGACTAAAGACAGGTGGAGGTGGTGGGGGTGGAGATGGAGAAGAAGGAGACCATGGGTACTCCCCTTCTGGAGCAAACTGCTGGGAGAAAGGCGGGACAGGCGCTCTCCCAAACTGTTTCTGAGAAGCAGTAGGAGACATAGGAGAGGGAAGGCTGGATGTAGACGATCCTGAGGAAGGAGTCACATAACCTGAAGCAGGGCTGATGTTCTGAGCAGCAATGAACTGCTTGGGCCGAGCATAGTTGAAGGAGCTGGAAGACTGCATGGTGGGAGAAGTATGAGAGTTGAGAATACTCATTGGCACAGAAGTGAGACACTGGTTGGCTTCAAGCTCCTGGAAGGAGGGGGGAGGAGGAAAGGAAGGAGAAGAGGGAGGGTGCGGATGGTGATCGGGTTGCTGATGGTGATGATACCGCTGGCCACTTTCTTGCTCCAGACGAATTTGGTTCTGCAGTTGCTGTATTTTTAGAGGGTCTCTGTACAAAAAAAAAAAAAAAAAGAAACAAAAAGACAGTCAGACATGTGGTGCTGGTTGGGAAGGCAGTAAAAAAATCCACACACTGAGCTACGGTTTAGGAAAATCAGGAACCAGGGAAAGATCAAAGATTTGCATCTTGAATAGCCATACTTCTTAAGACCTAAAACATCGCCACAAAAGCCTTCTTTCAAGCCAGAAAAGAGGAGAAAATGTATACACAGAACAGAAATCAAAAGAACTTTAATTTTTCTGAAAAGGCAAATTATAGAGAAATCTGAAGACACTTTGGGGTAGAAGAATAGAACAAGAACAGACTAAAAGCCAAGCACACAGAAGTACTCAAAAGAGCTAAGCCAACAAAAATTCTGCATGTACAGCAGTGAGGGAAACCAGAGCATGCATTGGCTTTTTTGGTCACAAGATGGTTGTTTAAATGACATTATGTCCTTCCTATTACTTGCTCCTTTGCAGAAAAAAAAAAAAGAAAAAAAGAAAAAAAAAAGAAAAAAAAATACAGCAGTTAAAATAGACTGCTGAACTCTTATAGATGTTCCTGTCTCTCACTTCATTGCGTATGAAYTGCTGTTCTACTGAAGCAGTAGCAGGGTAAGGTAACTAAGATCCGCCAGAAAATGGAGATCAAACTTAACTGTGTGGTCTCTCATCTTAGAGTTCATCAGACCAAATTGCTTAAAAACTGTAAATGTTCCAGCTGGAAACAATAACTTTCTGTACTCCAGATATCTATGAAGTTTCAGCATTTGCACATTCATTTTTTGGGTATATTTCATATATARATTATTTAATAAACACAAATGTATCATTGTTCATTAAATAATTTAGGTTATTTGAGCAGAACTTTTGGAATTTGTCTACTTAATGGATGGCGTGTGAATGTATGATTCTGGCACAACAATATACTTTTGTTGGTAGCAACAAAATTGTAAGTGGCAATATCATATTTTCCATCCTAAGATTAATTTTGATACTCTAACCATCCACATCTCCCAGAAAATATTTTCTGACAATAATTCTGCTTAAGATCTCAAGCCAAAGAGATTGTTTAGATTAAAAGGAAGAGTGTGCTAGTTTAGGTCCAGAAAACTGAAAAATCAAGTATTTGCTTCAACAGTTGTTTTTTGTCTTTTTTATCGCATTGATGGTTCATGCTAGCTTTACCGTCATCTCATCAACAATATGTATTAAGGCAATTATATTTTTTACTCTTTTTAAAAAACAAAGTGCAGCAAGAAGATTAAGAGGCTGCACTCCACTCATACATTTCAGAGTTTATTTTTGGATGTTGACAAGAGAGTCTAAATGCCCATCAGTTACGCCTTCTGCTAAGACAGGGACTGCAGCTTGTTCTTCAATTTTTATTAAACTATGTAAAGCTATGCTAAGCTATGTAAACTATACAAATGTTTCCCTAAATGGGCTAAAGCAACTTGTGCAGTACACAGTTTCATTTTTTTTAGCTCCTATAATCATTTGAATATCTTTGCAGATAGCAGAAACACTTCAAGTCGCATTTAAGTCCTCTACTACCTCCAGCTCATTCGGGTATCTTTCAGTTRCTTCTTTGCAGACCAGTTATTGGTCAACACCCCTAAAACTATGTAGCAATAATACTTACTTCTACTTCTATTACAGGTTTCCCTCCTTGTACTCCATATTTTTATTACTGAAAGGCTAAGGCTTAAAATAAAAGGGCAATGTAGCACTGAAAATGCCGTGCTAGGTACAGAGGAAATGTATCTGTCTCCAACATTTTTCTGTTTTCCCAACATGTGCTGAAAGGCAGACTGCCTTGTCTTGGGACTCTTCTGTTTCCATTGCCAAGTCCTGTGGCCACGTGCCAGCCAGCAGCATAACACAAATGCCCATCTATGGCCTTGTCAGTGGTGCCTATACCAGTGCACGCACTGCGGCCGCCGCCACTGCACAGGGCTGCTGCACCAACACAAGCAGCACTGAAAGGCAGCCCTGGGAGCYCCGCGGCACACGGGCTGCTCTGCCCCCACACCATGCTCAGCCTCATGTTACGTGAATATGTCCCCACATGTAAGACAGATCAAACAAGCTAATGAGAGCACAAATGCTGCTTGAAAAGCTTCTTTCTTCTTTCCCTCCCACCCCCCTCTTCAAGCAGAGTATGTCTGCTTGAAAAGCATCATGCAGACAGAATCATTTTCACATCAGTCCACATAGCAACAAAAGCAAAGACCTTCTTGCAGCAAATTTTCATTCCAGTGGTAGAAACACATGATCCTTGTCTGTAACAGAATGCTCTCCACCTCCAAAACTAATTTTTAAACAGCTGATGATGCTCTATACTTATTAAAATATCTTAAGCAGATGTATCCTAGGGATGTTTCTCTTTGAGGAACAAAAAAAGGGGGAGGAGGGGGAATGAATTCACAAATATTCCTTTGCAACAGCACTGACAGAAGTGCAGGGAAAGTCACTGACATGCAACACTGCTGGCCCACAGAGAAGGGCCCAGCAGGCAAAAGGATGCAGTGGGAACAGCTTGGTGTAGTGTCTTCTCCAGTACTAGAAAAAGAAAGTAATTAAAAAAAAAAAATCTTTGGAAAGGATAACAGGAAAAAATCGTTTAACTCTAATGACATCCTCTTTCCAATTAGATGAAATGTATTTTGTAATCCCAGTGTTCTAAAGGGCATACATGCTTTGAGGGAAGATAACAAACTTGTATGAACAACAGCAAATAAAATTCCTTTTCTCATTCGGGGTCTTCACACAATTTTACCAAAACATTAATTGCAGGAACGTAGGAAGGAAAAGCTAGAAGTTTTAGTTAAATTCTATCAGCACGTGGGCAAAGAAAGTAAATAAGGAAAAAAATGGCTTGAGGTAAAGCAAAAAAATCAATAGAATCGACTAATTGCAAGAGAGGATAGAACTAGAATTTATGCAGTTATTATTTACAGTCCAAACATGTACAGATTCATTGTCCACAATGCTTAATCATTTCTTAATGGCTCCTAGAACGACAAGGCTTGGCCTTTTCGCCTTCACTTATGTTGATCTCAGGTTGCTTTCCACTTTTACATTTTTAGCTATGGAAAGAGATAAAAGAATCCAAAGGTGAAGGGGAAAGAAACTCAATTTGTTCTGCAATTAGGGATGAACATGTGCAGTTTCTCTTGCCATTATAGATATATCCTCCCATTGTATTAACAGCTATTATATAGCTGTTAATTATTGGTGCCTTATTGGTGCCAGGTATTTGGGTACTTCCTCAAAAACACTATGACTGCACAAGAACAACAGCAAACAGAAAATAGCAGAGAGGTTTCTGCATCAGAAATAAGATCTTATAAATATGATTTATTATTCTAAGAGCCTAGAGTCTAAGAGCCTAGTTTAAAAATCTGCAAAATACTGGAAATTAGTACAAAGGAGGAAGTATTTCAGACAGAGAAGTAGTCAAATAAGGGAATTGAATTGATTTCACAGTCTTAACCCTGTGATCCTGAACAAGTAGCTTTTCCATCTGGTCCTTAGATTCTATACTTTTAAAGTGGCATATACGAACTCCAGGATGCTCAAAACTCCACTGCAGTATTCATTACTAACAYGGTTCCTACCTCACAGGAACAATGTGGCAAAGTGCTCTGTCTGCTCATGCAGCTAAATATCAGATGGAAATTCTGACCTTTGAAGCACTTAGTTCACCACTATAGATATATATGTATGTATATGCACACACACACAATGATATCTTACAGTAATAAAGTTCTTTCACACTACTGCTAACAATGGTGCAGAGACTTGCAGAAATGAATTTTTTTCCATAACTTTTTAGTGCATTGATGCACAATCAATGCACTTTTTAGTAATTTGATTTCATGGAATAAATGATTGAAAAGCTTCTACTTTTCATTTGTGCCTTGAAGTCTCTGGCTTGCCTATGCCAAGGAAACTGACCACAGTATCTTGAAGAATCAGTCACTTAGTGCTGCTCTTAAACTCAACATCTTCTCCAAACATTCAGTGGCTGTGTTGGGCACAGAGAAAACGCCTAAGCGCCAGTTACAACAGATCACTGGGAGCAGTAAATGGCCTTGGTTTTACCACTGATGTCAAAGCCTTAGCAAATCAGGCTTGCTCTTCATAGCAGCCAAAGGTTTGCAGTATGCAGGGAGGAAAGTGTCAGCTGAGGGGCCACTTGCTGAGCGGAAGCAACAAACTACAGCACTGCCCCTGCTTTCCAGACTCGTTTCTGCTCCTCTTGTTTTCCTGCCAGAAGCAGCAGACCCTGTGTCTCACTCCCTCTTCTTCTATGTTAGAACAGCTAAGTTCAGTTTTGCTTAAATTGTCAAAAAAACAGATTACAAGAAAGTGCTGAATGACGACACGAAGGGGTAGTTCTTACCTTGGAGGGTCAAACAGGTAGCAACTACCAGCAGGAACCATAACTCCAAGGCCATTGAGGATCTAGACACAGTGCTATGAGCTGGGCAGTTCTGATAGCTGATTGTATGACTGCTAGAAAAAGCCTAGGTTTTATTTCTTAGTATATTTTATTTGATAAAAGCACACAAGTTTATGTTTTACAATACAGTGTAGCACCGCAGATAAAGACTGGACCTTAAATACATTTTTTGATGCTGTAACTTTTAAAGTTCCTGATTTGGGCTCTCCTTGATCCTTCCTCAAGATCTTAACAAGAGGAAAGGAGCAAATGGAAAACAGACAGAAAGAAAACAGTTTTGTTTGGAAGAAAGAGTGCTGTGTACCTCTTATATGGAAGAATAATAGGCTCCCTTCTGCCTCAAGTCTTTCTTGAAACAATGCAGACTGGCCCCTTGACAACCCTTCCAGGGATCTGCTCTTTGAGAAACAGACAGTGCAGTTCTACAGAAAAGCACTTAGCATAGCTCAGAAATGGAAGTACAGAAATATTCTGAATGAAAAGAATCAGAAAGTGTGTTTAGAGATATAGACATGTCTAAATAGATCTAGGCTGAT